GCACTTGCCCATGTGTTTTAGGGTTGTTCTGCTGCTGAAATGAGCCAAAAATGTACTGTTCTAAAGGCTTTTTTCCTCGGGCTGCTGCCAAGCCACTTAAAGTCTTTTTACCCTTGTTCAAACTTATTGGACAAAATTTGACCGGCCGACAAGCTACGTCTTATCAACGACTATTTGTTCAGACTTTAGTGTCTGAACGTTTTCATATTGTTTGGCCTTGGTAACGAGAGTCTGAGACTCCCAAATGAAATACATGTATATAACAAGGATTCTCTTCACATCCTCCAGTCTTGCACATAAAATAATTGATCTTTCAGTTTCATTTGGATGATCAATTAATCTCAAACCCAAGATGTAAGCTATTTGATCTTGAATATTTTTAATGTCTGGGTGACAAGACACTATAGCCATCTCTCATCAAAAGCTTGTCCAATTTAGCTTTTCTTCATGCCAGTTTCTATTACCAAAGTTGTCTTTCAAACAACCCCCAATATAATGTATTCCAAAGAAATTGATTTTGTCATTTGACATTAACAAATTTGTGGCCTCATAGGTCACTAGCCTTTCAAAGGGTATGAATTATATCCCCAATAGGATGTGTAGAGCTGGATTTGTTATTGAAGTTGCCTTCTTTCCATAGCATTTTAGCCTCATCCGTTTTCTCTTTTGCTTCTTTTCCTAGCAGAAACGTGTGACCAAATCATCTGTTTAAACAAAATAAAATAAAGTGTGACCAAATCAGAAAACCACCTATAAAACACTCTTGTTCACATTAGTTCCACCTTCCAAAAACTCTTTAGCCCTTCCTGTGAACCCATTAAGTTTTTCAATCTAGCGCATGGCATCTTCTCGAATTTTTCAATCTAGTGCTTGGAAAATGTTTCTGCAATGTTTTATGCTTTTAAAAAATGAAAAACATATTCCATCCAAATTAGGTCATCTTCTGTTGAATGCTGAAAATTGTCTTCCATTGTTTTCTATTTTCCATTATACCGAGCACTAAAATATGCAAACAACTTTTTTTACTGAAACAAATTTACATGATGAGTATTGGAGATGATTTTTTTTTATCTTACTTTCTTGCCTTTTATTTTTTATTTTTTGCATGGTGTTGTTTGGGGTACAATTTAAAGCTATTTAATACTTCAGATTCTAAAAAAACCCTACATACTAAGGTCACTTAAAAAGAACTACTATTCTTGACCAAAGTGGCTTTTTGTATTTGTACATATATGAGTTCTGGATCATGCTAATTGCAACTCACATGTCGTTAAGGTAAAGAAAATACAAAAATATTTAGACTTTCAATTCACTTTACGTTTCTGCATTATGAATAGAATGCAATGCAACTTAGGTCACGCAGGCAAAAAGTTAGCTTTTTACACAATTCACCTTAACTCAGACATATTTAACTTTGTTTTATGAATGGAATAAGCAATGGACTGCAGTTAGCATTATTTATATATTCAATTCCATAAATTATTGAAAAGGGCAAAGCTAGAATTCAAAGCTTACCTCTCTTTTTGCATACAATTATGGAAAGGCAAATGGTTGCCGCAGAGTTCACAATGGAGATGGAAACCCCAATATTCTATTGTTAAGAAGACGAAAATATTCTTTTCCTGGTTTGATGTATCTGGCACAATGCTTAATACTTTGCTTCCAGGGATGAAAGGTTGGAAAGAACACATACCAGCTCCTCCTTTTTCTCTTTTCATTTTCCATTTGATTTCTTTCTTTTTCTTGTGAAAAAGGTTATACACAGGCTTGACTCACTGAATTTTCATATTAATAGACTAGGCAACAAGTCTCCAAAAATGAAATACATGCATAAATAACAATGATGATGATGATGATGATGATGACAGATATAATGATAAGAACTTGGAAGACAAGTGGGCTGTCCATCAAAGAACCTTTCTTACAACAGTTCAATAGCACAGTCAGTAGTGTTTTTAGAGTTACCGGTAAATGTAGTTGGCCTGCAAATTTACTGGTCTGTTTCAGTGAAATTGTGTGTTCCTGCTAAATTTGTTCCCAAATCCCAATTGTTTTGTTAAGGTTTTTGTTAGATGGACACTTACTGCTAATGTGTGTGCTGACACGCATGTAGATGGTCTTCGTTGCATTGGACAAGAACACAATAATATAATTATTAAAACCCCAATTCTCAATCAATTACTCTGTCCAATAATTAAAAGATGACCTTTTCCGACGTTTTCTTTTTGGTGTTGGTCATGCAAAATAGTATGTGGTACAAACACTAACGGCATGAAGAATATATGTAGGTGGGAGTGAATAAAGTAGTTTTTGCTAGCTCTATCAATCTAAGTAATTTGATCGATTAGAATAGGAGCGTTGGAGTTGAAAAGACTTTCTTCTATCAATCACGAGGTATTATAAAAATGTACAATACAATCAAGTAGATCACAATGTAAACATGGCCTTTATTTAAAGTAGTATCCAAATAGTGCAAAGTGAGGCTCTTGCTCAGAAACATTAATGACAAGAAGAACACCCTTGTACAAGCTAAAAGGTGAGCATTAACAGAGCTTCCATTGAGACAAAGTTAATTGTTTCTTAGATTGCTCTTCAGAAGTAGTCTGTGCCTCCTGAATAAGAGAAATATGTGAAATCATTTTTAAGTAAACTATAAATTGTGAATTCATTGTTCACCAGTGCTGAAATGGTCCAAAATGTTTGTTTGATGGTTCTCAAAAGTCAAATCAACAAGCCTTTATATTTCACTTCTATGTCAAAACAGGGTCCATGTATTTGGGCTACATATTTTGTGTTCTTCAGCATTTCTTTTATTTTTTATTTTTTTGATCAGGAGAAGGGAAATTTATTGATGAAATTGAAGTGGTTGCAAAGTAAACACAACAATGTACATCAATAAAAAGAGTTGGCAAGACATCAACGAATAGGAACCAGAAAATCAAAGCGAGAGAAAGAGAGAAAAGGACCCAACAAAGCTTAACACCACCCAAAACAGCAAGAAAACATAGCTGCTAAAAGACAAAAGCAAGGCAAGCATTCACAATCTTTTATGAGAATCCTAAGCCAACTACAAAACTACATTTTGAAGCTAGAATTTCAGAATATTTACCGAGGCAACACCACAGAGAGAGAGAAAGAGAGAGAAAGAGAGAGAGATTACCTTGACATTGAAGTGCTCTTGCATAATCAGAACATTATCCCAACACCATCCACTTTGATTGTCTTCAGTTTTGGTTTGCTTTGGTCCCTGGTGGGAGTGGTAGAAGTAAAAGTCTTCAATTTAGGGCAATCTTTCTCAATTACTCATCTGAGGATGACCATTCAAAGTAGATCTCCCAGTACAGAAACTATAGAGATGTGAACGATGTTCCGTTTTTTTTTTTTTTTTTTTTTTTTTGAACACCATCTTATCAACTATAGCTTCTTGTTCCTCTTTCTCTAGGTTTTTCTTCACAATAATACAACATCGTCCTCCAACTTCTTACAATCATATCAAACTAAAATTTCTATTGAGATGTTAGCCTCCTCAGGAAACAAATTTGTAACAACCCCATCCTACATCGGAAGTTTGCTTGGGTGATCATGGGCATATAAAGTACCACTAACTTGCTACTAAGTAACTTGGACTTAAGCTTTTGGGTCATGTTGGTCGACCCACAAGTTACTTGGGCCAAAAAAGCAATAAAGCAGGACTTGGATTCCTCATCCTGCAGCTAATCATAGCTCAACTTAAGACTTCCATACACTAATTGATCGACACTTTCAATGCTTTTTCGAAAAGATTTATTTAAGTATATAAGTTGCCTCTTTCCATTGCCCAAACATGGCATTCAATGTGGGGGAGTCAAGAACATCGCCAGCATCTAAAGCATCACATCCAGCAACCCTTACATGGGAAGGAACGACTACTAAGAATTTTAAAACTTTAATCGACTAAATGAGCTGGCATTCCTTCTAAAGCATCACATCAAGCAACCCTTACTTGGGAAAGAATGGCTACTAAGAATTTCAAAACTTAATAGTAAAAAATAATTGACTAAATGAACAACCATCCGTTGAAGATATAACTTTTGTTCCCAGAAATTGAATTTCTATGGAATTCTTGAAAATTTTATACCTTTAGTCCAGTTCAAATGAAATGTGGCGCCAAGTCATACAAATAAAATTAGTGGCATATCTAAAGTGTAGAATTTTCTAATTACATGATAATTTATAAAATAGAATTATCTCTGCTTTGAAATAGATTTGCACTAATTCGAGTCCATCCCCTATTGCGGTATTTTCTTGAAGTTATCAGATACAACTTCCTTCAGTTTTGGTGTGCTTTGGATCCCGCTGGAAGTAGCGACAGCGACAACGGCAGCAAGTCTTCATTTTGGGGCACTCTCTCTCTCTAAGTTGTTCGAAGGATGACCATTCAAAAGGAAAGTCATCTCTTGTGCAGAAACCACTTAGGTTTGGAAGGCATTCAAGCATGATTACTTCGAAACTTTTGAACACCATTTTTACACTTGAATGCTTAAGAACTATGAGAAGTAAAAAGGTCCCATATCTACTGTTCAAAAAAAAAAAAGGTCCCATATCTGAAGAAAAGCAAAAGAAAAGTCTTAATATATGTTAGATGGATTCACCCTCTATATGTTGAAGCCTTTAAGCGGATGCATGTTTGAAATATTGTGCATTGATTCTATGTATGGACACTTTGGATTCCCTAACATAAATCAAGGCATTGACTCTTTGGATTCTGTAACAAAAACTTGCTTCAAATGAATTACAATCTCCTTTTAACAAATTCAAGCAACAATTCATTGTTGTACTTTGAATTATTATTAGTCAATCACATTTCAATAAAGAGCAAATTGCAATATATTTTTTACCACAGATACAAACAAGCATGAAAACAAACATACAATATTGTTAATTGGGATAAATAATTTTGGATACAAGCTCCATTACAATGCAGAGAAAGTAAATTACACACACAGTGGGTACTTTTTTTCCCCCTTTATTCACTCTCCAAATCTTTAGCACACATTAGGTAAACATACCTTTATTTAGAGTAGTAGTTTTGATATTGCAAAGCAAGACAATTATTTAGAAACACAAATCATAGGAATCTTATGCCCTTAACACAATAAAATCCTAAGTAAGGTAGGCATCACATAACCATAGGGAGTAGCTCAACATTCTTTATGGTTGACAACTGCAAAAAGAAAATGAAAACTCAATAATAATCTAGTAGTATATTTCTATAAAGGATAGAGATATCTATATTTTGCTACATATAATGTTTCCCTTTTTGTTTTTTATTTTCAAAAACAAAAAAAAAATGAAAATATCAAAAACACCATTGTCTTCATATTGTTTTCATTTTTGCACAAAAAATAGCTTTTCAAATTTTGGAAATAACTTTTTGTTGTTTCCTAAAAAATGGGATAGGTTTTAGAAAAAAATTCTGAAAAAAGTATTCAAAAAAAAAAATCACAAAACATATCTATTTTTGTGTAATAGAAAATTCCTTTCAGATAAGAATTGTATTGTTTTTGGGTATAGCTTGAGGTAAATCATGAATTGTCTACTTACTCATGAGAGTTATTCCTCATAAATTCATAATCTAGTTCACAATCTAATTAAGATTCAGCATGGATTTCATCTTCAAGAGTACCAGCCTGTCTTGCCTAAAAAAATAAAAAAAATAAAAAAAAAAGAAAAAGAAAAAAAATTGGAAAGATTATGATAGGAAACATTCATAATGACAACCAAAAAAAAATGTGAGAAACCTGATAATATTGTCTATGTAGATGGAAAACAAGCTATTTAAACAACATATGCATGATTTCATCGGCTGACAGATCTATCAAGTGTATGTTGAATGGGCCTCAAAGAAAATATTTAGATTGGAAGGTCAATTAATGTTATTTATTCCTTATGTAGTAAAATTTATATTGAAAACTCACAAGATTTTCAGATTACCTATCGATTGAATAAAGATCTTACGCAATGCACAAGGACCACAAATTGCTCTGAGAGAGATAGCAAGTAGGCATTCTTCCCCTCTTCCACTTTTTGGCGAATAACACTTTCTATCATCACTCCAAATCATGACCTCTATCACTTTTTGATTGATTGTATATAATTTTTTTTCTTTGGTCTTAAGAAAAATAAAGGGTATGTTTGGTTTGCATTTGGGAGATGAGTTTTAGAAAAAAAATTTCTAAAAAATTGTTTAGTTTGAGTTTTTCTCAAAAAAATTTCAAAATCACTTTCTCTCTCTTACACATCAATCAATCACTTTTTCTCTCTCCTCTCTCCTTCTCAATCACTTTTTCTCTCACACACATCTACTCAAATTCTCCCCAAATATCAAATCATCCCAAACTCTCAAAAAAACAACTCTCCAAAAATATACAACCAAACAAACCAAAAAAATTTCTAAACTCTCTCCCCAAAATTTTTTTCAAAAACAACTCTCCCAAAAACAAACCAAACAAGCCCAAAATATTTAATATAAATATACATGTAGTGTAGCATAGTTGACTTAATGACAACTCAATCATTATTAGGCCATTAAGGCGATCACCTAAGGTCACACTTTTGGAATTCAGCAACTTGAAACCAAAAAAAAAAAAAAAAATCCCTAATAAAAACCTAATATAAAATTTATTAAGAGGCAAAAAAACAAAAGAAAAAAAGAAATCCATTGTTAGCATTTTCTTTTTCTTTTTTATTTAAGGAAGGCATTACCTCAATCCACTAGGTTTCTTCTATCTTTACCCAAAGGCCTAAAAACAATTCATTGTCCAAAGGTTTTTACTAAAATTTGATAAAAATCTCCCAAATAAAAATAGAACTATTCAAATCGTTATAAATTCTACGTATTGTAGGAAGTACTACCATGTAAGTAGTTGCTAGAATATTAAATAATTTATTATCTCATGTTCAAAGGCATTCGATTTTTTTTTTTTTTTTTAGATAGTCAAAGGCCTTCGATGATGAAGGCATAAATCAACATTTACTGTAAAAGGCCAATAAAAAGAAAATTTTCTTTATCCATCAACTTAACTTAACACTAAAAAATAAAAATAAATTCTATGCACGAAAGGGGACAATATATTATATTTTAACTGCTATAATAAAAGAAAACAATAAATTTTACATTAAAAAGGGTAATCTATATAAAAAAAAATTAAACTGTTATTTGAGTGTAATAAAAGGCCTCTCTATGCACAAAATTCATGCACAAATATATACCTAGAAAAATAATATGTGGTTAAGATTCAACTCTTATGTAATGGAGTCCACATTTTGAATGAATCTCGACCATATATTAATTTTTTATAGTAATTTTAAGTATACAAATTTTGTGTATGTAGTATTGCTCTAAATATAATTCAAAATTACTAGAGATCCCTAATTATCTACAAACTAAATTATCAACTACTCATAGCAAGGAGTAGTTGATAATTTGATTGGTAGTTCATTCAAAAACGCAATATATCATGAATATATACTCCCTTGATTTACTAGTTTATTAGTCTTATCGACAAGGACCCAATTTAATTTACTATAAAAAAAATAATAAATAAATAAATACAAACATTGCCTCATAATGTAAGTAATTATCTGATACATACATATATATATATATATATATATATATATGTTAAATGTGGTTAAATAGAGAAGTACCTTTAGGTGGCTTTGAAACGGTTTTGCACAAACTGATTCAATTCCATCCCTGTAGCAGTGTCTCGGATTCATCCAATCTAACTTGGTTCAATTTTGGTGTGCTAGCGGAAGTAGTGGCAGCGGAAGTCTTCATTTTGGGGCAGTCTCTCACTCTAAGTATTCCCAAGGATGGCCATTTAAAAGGAAAGTCGTCTCCTCCTGTGCAGAAACCACTTAGGTTTGAAAGGCATTCAAGATTGATTTCTTTGAGACTTTTGAAAACCATCTTGTAATCCACTCTCTCTTTCCTCCATTTCTTCACAGGGACTTACCCAAAGCACTTCAAGTTGATAAAGAGCTTGAGCTATGGAAGGTTGGAAGACATATTTCAGTTTGCCACATGAATGGACTTCCATAGATCTTAGGTTGCAGAGTTGCACATGTTGATGACTGGAGCAGTTCAATATATGCTTCATGCCTTGTCCTTCAGGACCAAAATCAAATACTTGTTCCAGTTTCTCACATGCTGATACAAAAAGCTTCTCCAAATGTTGTAGCCCTTGAAGCAAATTGAATGGAAGAACAGTTGATAATTCAGGGCATGCGTTAACTTCCAAACTCCTGAGCTTTGGGAAGCATGCCCAGCTGGAAGTAGTAAGTGCACCTGGGCATATCCCTTTGAAAGTATCCAATTTCCAGATTTTCAATTCTTCCATGTTAAACAACAATCGCAGATCGGGTGGTTGTGCCTGTGGTGAAATCCCCCATTCCTCTATGTTGATCAAGTACTCAAATTGACAACAATCTTTAATCCTCAGATGCTCAAAGACATTTAAACCTTCTACATCGGCTTGTAAATTTGGATAGATGCATAGCTCTCTTCAACACCATCTTTAGCCATTTACTCCAATTAACCATGGGTCCAACCGAATTTCCAAGTCTCAAATAATTTGGGGAATAATTTTCATATCCCCAACTCGATTTTCCAATAAAGATAATAAAACTTTCCAGCTCAGGAAAAACAAAGTCCTTAGGCATATGCACAATGTCAGGTATGGAAATGGTTAGCACTTTTAGGCAAGGCCAAGATCTTAGTGCAGTAGCTACTTCTACTGCAGCATCTCCAATCCTCCAAGGTACGCTGCCAAACTAGTACAACTCCTCCAAATGGCATAAAGGCGATACCATTGCGGCCAGAATAAGAAATTCATGAAAGCTTCTAGTCATGTCCAACAACCTTAGATTAGTTAACTCCCTTATAGCATTTGGTACCTTAGAAAAGAAGGCACGCTTGAGGTTAAGGACTTCAAGTGTCTTTAACTGTCCAAGAAATTTAGTATCCCCAAACTTAATTCCTTCAAGAACTAATGTTCGAAGACACGTTTGGTTATTGAAAGTATCAGGACAGCAAATTGGATTGTCAAGATGAGGGTAGAAGTGTCGGCTCCAATCTAAAGCACTAAGTGCATTCATCCTTGAAAGGAATTCATGTGAACATGACCATGCATTTCGATTGTCATGAAATGGCAATATTTGGAGCTTTGAACATTCCAAGACCTCAGGAAGGTTACTGATCTGATTTCTCGTCAATGAAATGCCTGTGTATTTATCCAAACTATCCACATTTGGCCAATCTTTCAAATTGCAACCAGCTCTTACAAAATGCTTTTTGGATCCAATAAATATGGCAACATCGTGCACAACATCATGCATTTTGATGCAATCTTGTACATCACTAGCTAATAACAAACATGAAGCCATGAGATTGTTGATCACTGGCTTTGCTCTGCTCCTAGTTTCCTGCACTGTATCAACATTTTTGAATAATCTCAACCCCATCCCATACCGTACTAAGTCTTCTATTAAGATGTCATGATCCTCGGGAAACAGAGAACAAAGCAAGAAGCAATCCTTGGCTTCCGCATCTTGCAAGTAATCATAGCTCAACCTAAGAGTTTTGTACACTTGTCGATCAACGCCTTCAATGTTTGTTGGCAATGATTTTTTTAATTCTTGAGCTACATTTTTCCATTCTTCAAGGTTATATTTACCTTTCATTGCTTTTCCAACTGTAACTACTGCTATGGGAAGCCCTCCACATTCTTTACAAACCTCTTTAGCAACATCATTTAACGCAGAAGAGTCAACAACATCGGCAACATTTTTTCTAAATAAGTCCCATGAATCTTGTTCAGATAAAACATCAAGCCAGACTATCTTTGTCCTCTCCCATTCCTTTGCCATGGTTCTGCATACTTGCTCACGCCGTGTTGTGATTATGATTTTGCAGCCCTCATGATCTTGGCCAAGTGGAATGCCCAAGGTTGTCAATTCAAATCTGTCCCAAATATCATCTAATATAATAAGTATCTTTTTCACATCCTTGAGCCTTGCACGAAGCATGCTTCCTATTTCAATTTCACTTGACTGATCAGTAAATTTGGTGAAACCCAACATAACAGCTATTTGATCTTGAATCTTTTTAATATCTGGGTTTTGAGACACTACAACCATCACAACTTCATCAAAAAACTTATCTGATTTAGCTTTTTTTCCCAATTTCTTTTACTAAAGTCGTCTTTTCAACACCCCCAAGACCATGTATTCCAATAAAGTTGATATTGTCATCAGTTAGTGCTTTCATTACACTCATCATTGCCAAATTTGTGGTCTCATAAGTCACAAGCCTTTCTGAGGGTATGGACTTTATTCCCAAAGGACGAGCTGGTTTGGATATGCTATTGAAGTAGCCATCTGTTTCTAGATCTTTAGCCACCTCAACTTTATCTTTTGCTTCCTTACCTAGCTGGCAACGTGTGACCAAATCAGGAAACCGCCCAATGAAACATTTCTGGTTCACATTGGTACCATCTTCTAGAAACTTTTTAGCCTCTACTATGAAGCCATCAACTTTTTCAATCCAATTCTTGACATTTTCTAGAATTTCTTCTCTATTCTTTTTTGCTACATCAATTCTCTGAGGCTCTAACTTTTCAACTTGGTCTCTCAAATCTTCAATGTATTCGATTCGATGAAGGACATAACTGAATTGACGCCCAACTGGCTCCACCAAGAATTCGACAACTTTTCCTTCAATGGAAATCAAAGCATCAAGGGCAGCCATAGCCATGTCTGAAGGCAAATATTCAATAAGAACCATTTCACAGTAGTATGGGACTCCCAAAAAATAAAAAAATTGTTGTACTATTGGCATTAATAATTATGTGTGTCTACTTACAATTAAATCTTTGGGTTCAATTTTTGACATTGACAACCATTTTTTTTTTCGTTCTTTTTTGTGTAGATTTTTGGTAGATGGGGAATAAAAGAAAAAAAATTAATTGGTTTAGTTCAATTGAGCACTTTTGTATCCTTTTAATTAGAAGATCAAGAAGTAAATCCTTATCAATGTTAAAAACTAAACCAAACTATGCCTTAAGTCCCATCAAATGGGGTCGGCTACATCAATCCTTCTTCTCCACGCGGCTCTATCAAAGGCCATTTCATTAGTTAAATTAAATAGATTCATATCTCTATTTACTAAGCTAGCCAACGTCAATCTAGATCTACCCTGTCCCCTAACACTTCCATCTACCATTATTGCATCGCATCTCTTCACTACTGTCTTTGTTGGTCTCCATTGAATATAACCAAACCATCTCAATCTATTCTCTCTCAACTCATCTTCTATCGGTGCTACTCCTACCTATTCCCGAATATACTCCTTCCTAATTCTGTCTTTTCTAGTTTTGCCACACATCCACCTTAGCATCTTCATTTCAGTAACACTTATCTTATCTACATGTTGTTTCTCTGTTGTCCAACACTCCATTCCATACAACTGTCAGTTTTGCGAAGAGAAAAGTTAAAGGTATAAGTGGTATCTCATCCCCCTTTTATATCAAATCATCACCATAATTACAGGAGTGCCCTAAGGCATAAAATAAGGATCCTGAATATACATAAGAATAAAATAGGAAATATTCTAACACATTCTAACACTCCCCCTCAAGCTGGTGTAAAAATATCTCTCATGCCCAACTTGTTAAGAATGTCACGGAATGGTTTATTCCCTAATCCTTTGGTGAGAACATCAGCCAGTTGGTCCCCAGACCTCACGAATGGCGTACATATAGTGCCACTAGTGAGCTTTTCCTTGATAAAATGTCTATCAATCTCCACATGCTTGGTCCTATCTTGCTGAACTGAATTGTGAGCTATATTGATGGCTACCGTATTGTCACAGTATAGCCTCATAGAATCTGTCTGATGAATCCCCAAATCCCTCAAAAATAGTCTAATCCATAATAGCTCACACACACCCTGAGTCATAGCTCTAAATTCAGCCTCTGCACTGGACCTCGCAACTACATTTTGTTTCTTGTTTCTCCAAGTTACTAGATTTCCTCCAACAAAGGTACAATAGCCAGAGGTTGACCTTCTATCAGTGACTGATCCAGCCCAATTAGCATCTGTATATGCCTCCACTCTAAGATGACCATGTTTTAAGAAATAGAGACCCTTTCCCGAAGAAGACTTCAAGTACCTCAAAATCCGCATAATTGCCTCTAAGTGAATTGCACGTAGAGCATGCATAAACTAACCAACCATACTCACTACAATAGCAATGTCAGGACGCGAATGGGATAAGTAGATAAGCTTACCCACTAGCCTCTGGTATCTCCCCCTGTCTACAAGCTCACCTCATTGATCCTCACTAAGCTTCAATCCAGGCTCTAGTGGTGTATCACAGGCTTTACTTCCAAGCATATCAGTTTCTTTTTGAAAATCAAGCACATACTTTCTTTGACATATGAAGATGCCATTTTTGGACCGAGCAACCTCAATACCTAGAACGTACTTCAAGCTGCCTAAGTCTTTAATTTCAAACTCATTGGCCAAATACTCCTTTAACCGAGGAACCTCAACATCATCCCCTGTGAGTACAATATCATCCACATAAACAATAAGAGTTGTTGCCTTACCATATGAGGAGTGTTTCATGAACAAAGTATGATCAACTTGACTTTGTTTGAAACTATATCGTAGCATGGCTTAAGTAAACCTCTCAAACCAAGCCTTAGGAGACTGTTTGAGTCCATAAAGTGACTTGCATAGTCAGCACATTTTTCCTTTGGTTTTGACATCCTCAAATCCAAGGGAAATGTCCATGTACACTTCTTCTTCCAAATCTCCATGATGGAAAGAATTCTTCACATCAAATTGAGGGAGAGGCCAGTCGAGATTGGAGGCAAGGGAGAGAAGGACTCTGACAGAGTTCATCTTAGCAACAGGAGCAAATGTCTCTTGGTAGTCTACTCCATAAGTCCGCGTAAAGCCCTTGGCCACCAATCTTGCCTTGTAACGTTTAATTGAACCATTGGCTTTGTGCTTTATGGTGTACACCCACTTACATCCAACAAGTCATTTGCCCTTAGGTAACTCAGCCAATTTCCAAGTGCCATTTTTAGCAAGGGCTCTCATCTCCTCCATCATGGCATGCTTTCACTCAGGAGCAGAGAGAGCATCCTGAAAATTAGAAGGAAGACTCACAGAAGAAACTTTAAAAGAAAAGCTTTATAGAAAGAAGACAGATTAGTGTAGGAGACAAAATGAGAAATAGGACGCTGAGTACAAGACCTAACCCCCTTCCTTTTAGCAATGTGAACGTCTAGATCAGAAAGAATAGTTACCTGGAGTTACATCAGAAGAAGAGGATTCTGGACACTCATCAGAAGGAGAAGATAGCAATGGAGAATCCGAATTGCTCTCTTGTACCCAAATAACTTTTTTCCTATCCTTGTCCCTGACATAAACTTTGTCGTCTTCCACTGTGGATTTAGACTCAATATCTTTCACTGCGGATTCAGACTCAACATTCTTAATAGCTAGGTCACCATTAACATTCTCAACGTGCTCAATTACTGGTGATAGTGATACAGGAATCGCTTCACACCAAGGCTCCCCCAAAAGGAGGACTGAAACACGGGGGAGGACGAGAAATAGGACTGAGACTCAAATAAAGGCACATCCATAGAGACAAACCATTTTTGAGAGGGTGGATGATAACACTTATAGCCCTTTTGTGTGGCGGAGTAACCTAGGAAGACACACCAAAGAGGCCTAGGATCCAACTTACCACGGGTAGGAGAATGGTTATGAACAAAGCACACACACCCAAAGGTTTTAAGAGGAATGGAGAAACCAGAAGAGTGGGACCCTAACAAAACCTGAAGAGGAGTGTGTTTGTTAAGAACATGGGTAGGCGGACGATTGATAAGGAAGGCTGTAGTGAGAACAGCTTCCCCCCAATAGGATCTAGGAACACGCATTTCAAAGGACAGACAATGCGCAATATCAAGAAGATGGTGGTTTTTACACTCTGCAACACCATTCTGTTGAGGGATATTGGTACAAGAAGTTTGGTGAATAATACCATGAGTGGCAAAATAGCTGGCAAGGCCAGAGTCAATGTATTCCCCCCCCCCCAATTATCAGAACGCAGAATTTTGACAATCGCCCCAACTGAGTGCAAATCATTTTATGAAAATTTTGAAACACAGAAAAACCTCACGTTTGTCCTTCATAAGATACACCTAAGTGGTCCTAAAACAATCATCAATAAAGGTGACAAACCATCGGTAACCCATTAAAGACACAAAACGAGAGGGACCCCATACATTAGAATGAATCAATGAAAAATGAACTAAACTTTTATTAATAGAAGGAACAAAAGAAGCTCTGTGTTGTTTTCCAAGTTGACATGACTCACAGTGAAACTCAAGAAACATTATTTTTCAAAAAAAAAACTGAAGGAAAAAGATACTTAAGTAACAAAAAAGATGGATGCCCAAGATGACGGGGCCACAACCATAGGTCTTCCTTGGTAGATGGTAACTAAATGGATGAATGAACCAGCTTGTCTGCTTAATCCAGGATATAGAGACCATTCTTGTTTCTACCACACTGCCAATCATCTTCCTCGTGATAAGGTCCTGAAATAGATAATGATCAGGAAAAAAGGTCACACTACAATTTAAGTCCCGAGTAATACGACTCAAAGATAAAAGATTAACACTAAAATTGGGAACATGTAGTACAGAAGACAAAGGAAGGGAAGTAGTGACATGAATTAAACGTTTCCCAGACACAGCAGAAATGGTGGCATGAATTATCCTATCCTGAAGAAGGGGTATATACGGAGAACAAATTAGAAGACCCAAGCATATGGTCGGAAGCACCAGAATCGATAATCCAAGACAACATTTAATGAGATAGGAAAGCACTTGTAGAAGAAGCTAAGTTACCTGAATGGACAAAGTTACTTGAAGATGAACTAGATGCCCGACGGTCTAGCAAGTGACGAAGAGCAACCTCCAACTCAGAAGTAGAAAACCTAGAGATATTAGCAAATGAAACAACCGGAGGGGGGAATTGTGACTTAACTGTATCAAAATGATGGGCCTGGGCATTGGGCCCTCGACCTCTAGACGGACTAGAGCGATTCCCTCGAGAACCAGAACGATCTCCACGACCCCTAGATGGCAGCCTATGCAACTTCCAACAAGTCTCACGGGTGTGGTGAAGGCGACGACAATAGTCACAGAAGAGGGTATCCTTCTCAGAAAGGCGACGGGAACTATGATCCCCATCTCGAGAGGGTGCAGAGACCAAGGCAGATTGATCAAAAGAGCCAGACGGACGCATAGCAGATCGACGACTCTCCTCATTCTGCATATAAGCAAACGCTTCTTGGACAGAAGGAAACACATCCATACCAAGCACACGACTTCTAACAGGATCAAACTCTACATTCAGATCTTCCAAAAATTTGAAGACCCGCACTTGTTCAACAAATTTCTGGTACCTTGCAAAATCAATGGGACAGATAGGCTTGTAATCCTGAAGATGATCAAGTCTCTTCCACCCATTTCTAAGGAAAGTAAAATACTGGAGGATAGTCATCTCACCTTGGATAGACCGGTCAATGGCGCATCGTAACTCAAAAATCTGTGAAAAATTGCCTTTGTGGGAATACGTAGTGGCCACCACAGCCTCCCAAATATCTTGTGTTGTGTCCATAGACAAGTATCCCTCACCAATCTCGGAAACCATGGAATGTATCAACCAACCCATGATAAGAGAATTGGTAATCTCCCACTGATCATAACCCAGATCTGTGGTACTGGGGGCTTGAACGCGCCCATCAACATATCCCAGCTTCCCTTTGCTCTTCAAAAAAATAGTCAAACTCTACAACCATGCTAGATAATTCTGACTATTAAAGAGAGAGGTGGTGATTTTCTGGCCAGGGTTGAGGGAATCAGTCATAGTAGTAGGCAAAACAAGACTCGCGCCATGAGGAGCAGGCTACGAAGTAATAGACTCACTAGTCAATTCCACCATGAATACTCTACTAAGGAACCCTCACAACAAACATTGGTCTAATCACAAACCCCAAAGATGGGAGAACATACCAAACAGAACAAAATGAATATAAGAGAACATTTTTTTTTTTTAAGAAGACAGAAAATAGAGAAGAGAATTACATGAATAGAGAGACTAAACACCAATGGTCACAGAATAATGACTTCAATGCAACCCAAACCCAAGAGAGAGCCAACTGAACCAGAGCTCCTGGGAGAGACCCAACCAAACCAGAGCTCGGCAACCTGAGGAGGGAAGAAAAACACCCCCGACTGAACCTCCAAGCCTGCCAACAAACCTGGGCTGGGAAAATGGAGGCTCCAACGAGCCCTGGGGTGCTATCGAAGCCCTAGGAGGCTGCGACTAGGGCTGCCCAAGCCCTAGGAGGATGCGACTAGTACTGTTGGAGCCCTAAGAGGCAGCGACTGGTGCTGGCAGAACCCTAGGGACAGCTACTGGTATGGTAGGGATTGCGGCTAGTGTAGTGGTGTGGTGGTGGTGTGATGGTGGCTGTAGGGTAGTGGTTTCTAGGGTTTTAGAGTGGCTCTGATACCATGTCAATTTTTAGAAGATAAAAGTTAGAGGTATGAGTGGTATCTCATCTCCTTTTATATTAAATCATCACCATAATTACAGGAGTGCCCCAAGGCATAAAACAAGGATACTGAATATACGTAAGAATAAAATAGGAAATGTAACGCCCTCAAAATAACCCATTATATGTATATCATTGACATGCATTATTTAAAGAAAACAATTTATTCATTCATTCATCAGAGTATTACTAAATAAAAACATTACATGTAACATCAAATTAAATGCCCTATGGGCTTACATCTTTCCAAGCCATCACTTGGACACAAAATATGAGTTCTAACTCAAATACAAATAAAGCCCTAGGCTTGATTATTCATCAAATAAAAGCAAACAACTAAAGCTAGTCTTCAAAATCCAAATCCTTCCAAGCTAAGTCCTGGGAGGTAGCTTATCACCTGGACCTGAAAATGATGTTCCCATAAGGGTGAGCCACAGCCCAGTAGAAATATACTAAACCAAATATAAGCATTGAATAAAGCATTAGTATTTAATAGATGGTTAACCAAGATAATCAATTACATTACTATCCAGTCTCA